TGCCTCCCTGGGCAGGGTAAGAGTAGAAATTTGCCGCTTGCAAAACGCATCTGAGCTGGTCCGGCTCCCGCGGGCCGGCAGTGCTTTGTCACGACGGGATTTTATCGACACCCATCGTATTTGTCCTCGAGCGCGATGAAACGCAACGTGACAGCGCATCAGTTCAGGAAACGGACAAAAGGACTTTTACTCAGGGCGGGGGGGGAAAAAAACCCCATCAAAACCACCAAAAAAAAAAAACAAACCAGCTTTAAAGTAACCGAGCCGTGACATTTGAAACAACCTCGGCGCTTCTCCCGCTGCCGCCGGCTCCCGTGGTGCCGGGGAAGGCGCCGGTGCCGGAGGGGTTAAGGCGATGGGATGTACTGGAGGACTGCGGCGGGGCAGGTCGCGTGTTAACGCCAAACGGGGCGCTCTAAAGCTGCATAAAACCAGTACGGAATGGTTTTGAGGCTTCACGGCGGGGCGGAAGGCTCGGTAACGGAAATCATCCGCTCTCCCAACTCCCCTGTGCTTCCGTGGGGGGGGGTTTGGCTTCTTTTACGGCCGTAAAAAGGAATGTCAAAATAAGGAAGCGAAGCAGCGGAGAGTTTTACCGTAGCAAACGGGTATTTTATACAGGTGGTGATGCGACAGCGATCCCAAAGCCCAAATTCGCGCAAACGACGATAGCTAACGTGGCTGGGGGAGGTTTCGGCAGATCCCCCCAGCAGCGAAGCACTTCACAGACCCATTCGTGTCATACGTCCGTCTACGCAGTCCGCGCGCACCCCCACCCCCCCCTCCCCGATACGCGCACCCCTTGGGATCCGGGCTGCAAGCGCAGCTGGCGCTGGCAGGAGACGCTGAATTTTGGCAGGGGGTTGGTGAGCCGGAGCTGCCTTCCCGGCACGGCGGAGAATTCCCGGTTTGTTTGGTGGTTTTGGGGGGTTTTTTTGGGGGGTTGGTTTTTTTTTTTTCAACCCTTTTTGCGGTGATGTAATTCAGCGATGCTACAAACGCACCCACCAAAGCTGTCGTCACCGCCTGGGGCTGGGGCAGATGTGTCACACTCCAGTAAAGCTGTCCTTTTGGGGTTGTGGTTTTTTTGGGTTTTTTTTTTGTTTTTTTGGGTTTTTTTTAAGCCAGTTTGGTTTTTAAGACACAATTTTTTTCACGCGCAACAGTTGTTTACGGCGTACCCGTCCGCCCGCTCCCTCCCCCGGCGTGCCAGAGTCTTCGTTTTCCTGATATAAAGCGGATGCACGCGCGGTGCGGATGGCGGAGGGGCTTCACGCGGGTGCTAAAACCCCCGGAGCATCCTCCGGCGCGGCGCGAGGCAGCGCCTCGCCTGCGCTGGTGACGCCGGTGGCTGAAATCAGCCACGTTTTCCCCCACAATAAACCCGATAAAACCCAGCGGGCGGCAGCAGGGGAGCTCCAGAGCCGGGGATTTTTCCCACCCAGGGCAGAACGTGGCTGTTTAAGGAAGCTTTTCGCTGAAGGGATAGGTTGGGAGGACGGGATCCGGCCTCTCCTGAGCTGCGCTGCGTCTCCATCCCTGCCAGATGTAAATCAAAGAAAGGATATCCCAATTCCCTGAAATCCTTTATCCGGAGGGTAAAAGGCGTCGCGCGTGAAACTGGGAATATTGAGAGTAGATGTAGCAAAGGAACTGGTCTAACCACAGGGGTTTGTGGAAAAAAAAAAAATAAATAAATAGAGATCTCTCTGCCCATGGGGGAAGAATCGGCTATTAAAAGCGAAGCAGCCGGGGCGGTGATGCCGCTCTCCCGCCCAAACCTTCACTGCTGCCCGGCGCCTTCGTCCGGGTGTTATCCCGGACATCCCTCGTCCCACCACTGCGTTTGCAGAAAAAAAAATTGCGTATCGGTTACAGGGTGGGGGGTGTCAGCCCCGGCGGCAGCACCGCGGACGGAGGGACGGAGGGACGGAGGGACGGAGCGGGGACAAGCCTGCTTTAACACCAGTCTTTTCTTCTTTGGAACAGGTAAGACGGAGCTGGCCAAGCAGACGGCCAAGTACATCCATAAGGATGTCAAAAAGGTAACGCCGCTTCCCGTCGCGGTTTGCCGTCCGGGTGCTTGCGCTGACCGGGTGGGTTCGGTTCTTGGTGGGGGTCGTTGTTGGGCTTTGCCCGGCCGTGCCGCAGCAGGCGGAGTTCATCTGTGGAAGAGAATCGTGGAATCACAGAAGGGTTTGGGTGGGAAGGGACCTTGAAGATCATCTACTTCCAACTGCCGTGGGCAGGGCCACCTCCCCCCAGCCCAGGTTGCCCCAAGCCCCGTCCAACCTGGCCGGGATTATTCCGTTTCAGAGCTAACAGTTGGCACGTTGGGCAGCACACGGGGAAGCCGGAGCTTTTCTGGTCCCGAGCGATGCCGTGGGGCACCAAACCAAGACGGTGCTGCCATGAACTCCCAAGGGACGGAGGAAAGCCGGAGGATCTGCCGGGTGTGCCACTCCGCTGTGAAACACTGGTGTTTGGTGGGGGGGGCTGGGAAGAGTTGAGGCCAGTTTAGGACAGATTTTAATCCAAAACAGTCACATTTCCCTGCAAAATATTGAAACGGGGCAGAGCGAGGTGTATGAAAGTGGGGTCTGAGCCTGGCGGCGCGCACGCCGAGGAGCGTCCCACCGGCGTCCCGGCAAACGGCCGGCAGAAGCCGAGCGGAGCCGGGCTCCGACCCGCTGCCAGCGCTCCTGTCCTCCCCTTCCAACCTCTCCGGGAACGGGACGGTGAGGGGTTTTCCTTTCTTAATCCATCAGTTCCTGCCAATTCCTGCACCCCCATCACCGTCCCTGGGGCTCCTGACCCCCCCGACACCGCTCGTTACCGCACCGCCGGCCGAGCCGCTTCGTTAGCAGTGACACCCCCATTTGTGCCCACGCGACGCGCGGCGTCTAACTGATCTCTCCGTCCCGTGTTCGGGCGGGCGCTGAGCGGATCCCGTGCGGGAGTCGGGGATGGAGAGACGCAGAAGACGGGATTTATTGCTTCTGGAAGGCAATTACGGAAGGATGAGGGAAAGAAACCAGAACAGCTTTGTTTTTTGTTTTTTTTTTTTAATAGCGCTGTTTTACTTTTGATCTTCTTTCTGCCCATCGCTGGGGGGTGGTCCCGGGCAACTGGCCCGAGGTGGTCCCGCCAGAGCCGAGGGCTTGGACCAGATGGCCTTCGGGGGTTCCTGCCGCCCGCGGCCGTGCCGCGATTCCCCGTGTCGTTTCATCTCGTGTCCGTTCTCCGCCGGACGGACGGTGGGGCAGAGGAACGAATCTCGTGCCGGCGCATGGGGCGGCTCTGCTGGATTTCCCTCCGTCCCCTGTCCTCGAGAGATGGGCACGTCCCGAAGGCGGGCAGAGGCTTCGACGGGGATCGGGGAGCTCGGATTTAAACCCTCGGTGGTTTAAAACCTGAAGACACCCCAGAACTACCCCCTCTCTAAGCCACCACCACCTGGAAATAATTCTCCCCCCTCTTTCGCTCAAAGCCGCCAAGTGGATGAGGAACTGAACCCCACCGACAGCCTCTGCTCTTCGCGTTCCCAACGTTTCGGCGCTAAGAAGCGGAGAACGAAATCAAAGCTGCCGTTCCCCCACACACACCTCCCCGGGGTCCGCACGGGCGCCGCGCCGCCGGCGCCGCGTACAGCGCATTTTCGGGATTTTATTTACCCTTCTGACAAGGTAGAGCGGTGTTAGTGACGGAGGCAAAAAAGAAAAACCAAACCAACGCCATCCGTTGACAACACAGGGTGTCCCGGTGACAGCGACCCCCGGGCGGGAACACCGGGCGCCCCTAAATCCAGTTAGATTTTTACAGTTGGAATATAGCGGTGACGCAGACGGGGACCTTCACGGGGTCACCTGAACGCAGCAGAAGTCCTTTCCCAGTGCCCACACTCGCACCTCG